AAGATATGAAATAAGATCCTTCAACAGGGCGTGGGACAGGCGCTGTGGTTCACGCCTGTAATCCCAGCACTTTGGGAGGCTGAGGCGGGCGGATCATGAGGTCAGGAGATCGAGACCATCCTGGCTAACACGGTGAAACCCCGTCTCTAATAACAAACACAAAAAAATTAGCTAGGCGTGGTGGCGGGCACCTGTAGTCCCAGCTACTTGGGAGGCTGAGGCAGGAGAATGGCATGAACCCCGGAGGCGGAGCTTGCAGTGAGCAGAGATCACACCACTGCACTCCAGCCTGGGCAACAGAGCGACACTCCGTCTCAAAAACAAAAAACAAAAAACAAAGAACAAAAAACAAAACTGTGTGTGGATATCATTTTTACTGGAGTGACCCTGTATTGTAACCATTGCTGAACGATTGCTTTTTCTTCTGCAGTACTCCCCAGGAAATATTCTGTTAGCTTGCTTGACTAGATGAGCTGCTATAGTAGTCAATCCCGTTAGACTTGGACCATTGTTTGTTTGAAAAACCGGAATCTGTCACACGCCCTGAGCCCTTTATTTATTATTCCCCTAATTCAGTTCCAGGATCTTCTCCAGTAGTGACAACTTGGCGGCCGCCGCCATCTTCTGGCAGAGAAGAGCCAGCGTTAAATACAGAGACCAGCGTTTAACTTTTTGAGAACCTGTCAAACTGTTTTACCAAGTGGCTGCATCATTTTACATTCCCATCAATTATGTACAAGGGGTCAAATAACTCTAAATCTTCATCAACACTTGTTATTGTCTCTCTTTTTGATGATAGCTATCCTACTGGGTGAGAAGTGGTTTTGGCTTTTATTTCTCTAATGACTAATGATGTTGGTCATCTTTTATTGTCCTTTTTGGCCACTTGTATAATATATTTTTGGGAAAATGTATATTCAAATCCTCTGCCCATTTTTAGATTGGGTTGTCTTTTTATGTTGAGTTGTAAGACTTCTTCACATATTTTGTATAATAGACTCTTATCAGATTATTTGCAAATCTTTTCTCCCATTCTGTGAGTTCTTTTCACTTCCTTGACAATACCTTTGAAGCACAAAATTTAAAACTTTTCTCCAATTTATCAATTATTTTCCTAGGTTCCTTGTGCTTTAGGTACCATATTTAAGACATCATTGCCTAATCCAAGGTTATGAAGATTTACATCTATGTTTTCTTGTAAGTGTATAGCTTTACTCTTTATTTTTTTATTTTTGAAACGAAGTCTCGCTCTTGTCCCCCAGGCTGGATTGCAATGGCATGATCTCAATTCACTGCAACCGCCGCCTCCTGGGATCAAGTGATTCTCCTGCCTCAGCCTCCCGAGTAGCTGGGATTACAGGTGCCTGTCAGCACGCTTGGCTATTTTTTTTTTTTTTTTTTTTTTTTTTAGTAGAGATGACATTTCACCATGTTGGTCAGGCTGGTCTTGAACTCCTGACCTCAGGTGATCCGCTTGCCTTGGCCTCCTGAAGTGCTGAGATTACAGGCGTGAGCCACCGCGCCCGGCAGCTTTACTCTCATATTTGGGTCTTCGATGCACTTTAATTGTTGTATATGGTGTGTAGTGCAAATCAAGATTCATTTTTGCCATATGAATATCCAAATATTGCAACACTAAGTGTTGAAAAGCTGCTTCCCTCCTTTATTGGCTTTTGCAAGTTTGTAAAACAACAACAAAATCACTGGCCTCACTCTGTAACTGAGGGCTGCACATACAGTCTTCCTTCCAAAGAGTACAGTATGGAAAGTGGGGAAATGTAACATCACAGTAGTGAAATCTGACAAACACTATCTCAGTTAGGTGATCAAGGCTGACATCAGCAGCAATAAGTGATGCTGTTGATAAGTACCTTTGATATGATGTGATGAAAATGACACTTTATCTCTATGATCTTCCTTCCCCAAATCCATATCCCCAGGCTAATCATGAAGAAACATCAGACGAATTCCAGTTAAGGGATATTCTACAACTAATGCAGTGGCTTACACCTAGAGTCTCATCTACTTGGGGGGTTGAAGCAGGAGGACTGCTTGAGCACAGGAGTTCAAGGCTACAGTGAGCTGTGTTTGTGCCAATGCACTCTAGCCTAGGCAACACAGCAAGACTCTTAAAAAAAATTGAACAAAGTATGAATTTTAATTAGTCATGTGTTGATATTTCATTAATTTTAACAAATGCACTATACTAATGTAAAATACTAATAATAGGGAAACTGGATGTAGAAACTGGGTATAGGGTATGTGGGAAATTTTGGAACTATCTGAAATTTTTCTGTAAATCTAAACTTTAAAAAAAAAAATTTTTAAAATATTGGCTGGGCCCAGTGGCTCACGCCTGTAATCCTAGCACTTTGGGAGGATGAAGCGGGAGGATCACGAGGACAGGAGTTTGAGACCAGCCTGGCCAACGTGGTGAAACCTAGTCTCTACTAAAAATACAAAAATTAGCTGGACGTGGTAGCGGGCGCCTGTAATCCCAGCTTCTCGGAGGGCTGATGCAGGAGAATCGCTTGAATCCGGGAGGCGGAGGTTGCAGTGAGCCGAGATCGCGCCACGGCACTCCAGCCTGGGTGACAGAGCGAGACTTCGTCTCAAGAAAAACACACACACCAAAGCTTAAAATATCAATTAGGTATATTTGTATTTATTTAACTGTTTCACGAATCTTTGTTTCTATCTTTTCTCCTATAACCCATTCTTTTGTTTTTTTTTTTTGAGACAAGGTTTTGCTCTGTTGCCCGGGCTGGAGTGCAGTAGCGCGATCACAGTTCACTGTGGCCTCAAACTCCCGGCTCAAGTGATCCTCCAGACTCCCAAGCAGCTGGGACTACAGGTGCGCACCACGACGCCAGGCTAATTTTTAAAATTTTTCTTTTGTGCAGACAGAGTCTTGCTATATTGCCCAGGCTGGTTTCAAACTCTTGGGCTCCAGCAATCCTCTAGCCTCGCCTCCCAAAGTGCTGGGATTACAGGCGCGAGTGGTCGCTGGGGTTCTTAACTTGGGTCTTTGAATTGCCTCAAGAAGTGTCTCTGAATCTGGGAATTGCAAGCAACGTTTCTGTGAGGACCTTCACACCGTTCATCGACTATTCGAAGAAGAGCATGGACCGAAAAAGGCATAGAGCACTGCACATAGAGAAAATCAGCAACCCCTGCTCCCCGCCATCAACCTAGAGGTGCCTACCTCCACGTGGGGTCAGGAGGCGGAAGCGAAACCAGACAGAAAAAACCTTTAGATCTATGAGGCAGTTCAGGTCCCCAGTGACATGAGCTAAAGAGAACTTGGACGCCAGGAGGATCCCATCACTGTACAGACTCTAGTAGACAGAATCCAGCTTCGGGGTTCAGATCAATCGCACTGAGGAAAGAGCCCGCAAGTTCTACCCTGTCGAGGTCCCGCAACAGCGCAGGCGCTAGGACTGCTAGGACGCCGCGCGCCTACCGCGATGCCCCGCCCTGGCGCGAGGCAGGACGGGAAAGTCAAGATGGACGCGTCCATTTGAACGTCTCGCATGCCTTCCTGCCATTGGCACTGGCGCCCGGTGCTGTTGCCCGTTCTTCCTCCGGAATAGGGGAGGGAGAGGGAATGAGAAGCTGCCGCGGCCGAGGAGTCACTGTGACGGACCCCGCCGCTGCCCTAGGGCCTCCTCGGCCCCTGCGCCTCCGGGGAGCAGCCGGGGCTCGCCGCGCCTGACGCGTCCCGAGTTATACAGGTGCGGGCCCTGTACCGCAGCCCTTGGTGGTCTGTCGCGCGCCGCGTGACTCTTGCATCCGCCCCGAGGCCTATCCTCCCCTCGTGGCCGTAGGTCTGGGAACCCGGGGGACTGGGAACCTGAGGGAGGGCGCTGAGCTTGCCCCGGGGCTGAGGGGGCTCCTTCCAGCTCATTGGTTGCCAACGTCTTTTATGAGCTGCGCGCAGCATATCCATGTGCAGCCTCAGCTTCTAGATTGGCCCCCAGTCCCTCTGAGCTGATTTTCTGAGGCTCGAGCTCTTAGCCTGTTTTCACCGTCCTCCAGAACAGCTGGCGAAGCTCTTCCTTTTTTGTGGGGACTGGAGACCTAAGCTCCCGTTAGTGTGCATTTGGGACTCTTTTTTTTTTTTTTTTTTTTTTTTGGCAGGGTAGTGTTTGTAGGAATCATTGCTGATACTGTTATTTATAGCATATGAATTTAATAGTATTTTTATGTATAGCTGTTTATGTTGCCCCTAATAAGTAAAAACATGTCTAAAAGTTTGGGGTACTGTAAAAGTATTAAATATGTGGCTTTAATAGGTACAAAATGATAAATAATTCTTTAACCATTCTGTGATTTTCTCAGTTATAAGAAAATAACATTATAAAATTACAGAACTAAAGTTTCATAAAGTCAAAAGTTTGTTGATGTTGGTTGTCCTGTTGAATAAAATATAGGAAAACCAGCTCAATTTTGTTGTTTTCTTTTAAGTTTTTTTTTTTTTTTTGAAATAGAGTCTTGTTCTGTCGCCCAGGCTGGAGTGCAGCGGTGTGATCTCGGCTCACTGTAACCTCCGGCTCTCATGTTCAAGCAGTTCTCTGCTTCAGCCTCCCGAGTAGCTGGGATTACAGGTGCCCACCACCACGTCTGGCTAATTTTTGTATTTTTAGTAGAGATGGGGTTTCACCATCTTGGCCAGGCTGATCTTGAACTCCTGACCTCGTGATCCTCCCGCCTCGGCCTCCCAAAGTGCTGGGATTTACAGGCATGAGCCACTGCGCCCGGCCCCTTGTAAGTTTTTTAAGGCACTTTTTGGTTGTGTTCCAAGTTCAAGTGTTCCCAGTACTCATTTATTTCTAGCAGGAGGAAAAACAAAACTTGTATCATGTTTTGTGACATAATTATATCAAGAATAACTTTTTTGTGACATAATTATATCAAGAATAACTTTTTTTTTTCGAGACAGATTTTCGCTCTTGTCCCCCAGGCTGGAGTGCAATGGCGCCATCTTGGCGCACTGCAACCTCTGCGTCCCAGGTTCAAGCGATTCTCTTGCCTCAGCCTCCCAAGTAGCTGGGATTACAGGCGCCCACCACCATGCCTGAGTAATTTTTTTTTTTTTTTTGTATTTTTAGTGGAGACGGGGTTTCACC